GCACTAAATGGAGTCTTCAAGCAGTGAGGATGATTTTGTTGCTCTCGCTTCTTAAAAAAAAAGAAAAAGAAAGGAAATATTGGGTCAATCCAATCCTGAGATAGAGAGGATGGAGAGTTCCCCCTCCTTATTAAGGAACAACGGGATTATCACGGGCGATTCAAAGTTTACTTCAGGATGTCAGTGGCTCAGTTTGATGCTTTTGCTAGCGATACTAGAGCCACATATTAAAAAGAAGACCACTGCAAGGATCTATATACAGTGCTTTGTGCTGCGAGACGAAGTGGATGAACTTGACAATCGCCATTCTGGATTTTGGCGTTCGCTTGTACGGTGGCTCTGATCTGTCAAAACACTCAGCTACGGATGCGAAAAACGGAAAAAATCGAACCCGATCCGAATTTTTTTATGACAGACGAATATTTTGGAGGCAGTGTGTAAACGTGATTGACATAACGTGAGGTCGTATTTATTTTTTTAACGTGCGAAAATTTCGGACTCAGTGTGCAATGACCTTAAAGGGGTCATATGATGCTGCTAAAAAGAATATTATTTTGTGTATTTGGTGTAATGAAATGTGTTTATGCTGTTTAAGGTTAAAAAAACACATTATTTTCCACATACTGTACATTGTTTCTCCTCTATGCCCCGCCTTTCTGAAACGCGTCGATTTTTACAAAGCTCATCGGTCTGAAAAAGAGAGGTGTGCTGTGATTGGCCAGCTATCCAAAGCGTTGTGATTGGCCGAATACCTCAAGCATGAGACGGAAATGTTACGCCCCTTGCCATATTGTGATGATGCCGTCAGGCCGGAGTATGTTTGATCAATTTAGCCTTCTCAAATCATCAGGACTTGCCTAAAATAAAATCTAGATTATACTAAAACAGTTCAAGCATATAACAATGTTTAAACGTTAAACCTGCGCTATAATAAATGTGCGCTTCTATATCCAAGTTTGTGCGGAGAGTGGAAGCTAAAGCACGCTTTGCAGGACATGGAGGCGCCAGCGAAATCACTTGCAATTTTTTTCAGTGGAAACTACTTAAAATAGCCTACGCTGTCATTTTTAATGAGAGCATCTATAGAAAGCTTTAAATTACCACTTAACGAAATAAAACAAATCGGAAAAAAAAAACTTTCATTATAATCATAATCCGTAAAGATGCACTTCTCTCTAAAGGCGCGTCTAATGAAGAGATGGCGAGTCAGGATCGTCATCTTCATCTTTGCGACACGGACACAGAAAACACTAGTTTATTAGTAAATAATTCAAACATCTCCTTACTATTTCCCCCTGACACATTTATGGTAATTAGTTTTGCTGGGGCTTTCTGGCAAGCTTTAGCCTATTGCGTGCATTTGAACGCAGAACTCTTCAGCTGCGCTGACGGCACGCATGCTGCTACTGCTGCTGCTGCTGGCAGGACACTAAGCCGCTCTTGACAGCACGGTGTAGCGTATGGACCAATTAGACACACCGTTTTTCATTAGATTTAACTAATAGTCACAGACTCCTCGCCCAATAAACATACTGCGGGCGTGCCCGGCGGGCTCCAACACATAGCTTTCAGTCTGCGCTAAAACAGGCCCGAGGCCCGGCCCGCGTCTGAACTATGACGTGAAAATCGGGCCGGGCTTTGGGCCGATTTTTAAAAAAGTCGGGCCCCGGCGTAAAAAAGTCGGGGCCCATCGGGCCCGGGCTGAAATGCAGGGCTGTAGTGTGGCAAATATGCGATTTGAAACTGGCCTACCACAACAGCACATCAAGTTTAAAAAATCATCTGAGTTCTGTAAGTACTCCTATATTGTTGGTGTAAAAAAAACTAGATGTTTTTATCCGCCATCAGTAATTTTACACATGATAAAAACGTGCACTTAATTTGCTTGGAAAATACTTGAGAATACGGCAGTCATAAAAAAAACGTACAGTAGCCCAGCCTAATAGTAATTTGTCTATAGTAAAAGTATTGCTCTCAACAGACCTGTGTGTTTTGTATCACTAGTGCAGTGTCCGTTCTCCAAGCGAGGCGCGCCGCTTCCGGCTCGCTCTGTTCTATAGTTTATTAAAAGTTTATTAATCCTGAACGTGTCATGTGTCCATATTGCACCGAAATGCACACTGCACTCCCTTGGGTCCGCAGCAACACACCCGCCACGCGTGAAGTCGATTGGATGAATGGTTCTCGACATAATAAAAATTCAGACAGACAGACAGACACACAAAGATTCCTGCCTTTATTAGAGAGAAGAATATGTTCAGCCCCCTCCCTCCGAAGCTTCGAATATTCGGTGTTGATTACTACCGAAGCTTCGAAGCTCAAAAAATGGTATTTGGACCAGCCCTAAAATGTTAACACTTATGGCTAAAACAGTGGTTTGATGTTTGTACTTGTTTTTTCTAAATTGTTTTGTATTTCAAAATTGTTGTGAATTAACTGGAAAACCTCTCTTAGACTGTTTAATAAAATGATTAATTATAAACATGCCCCACTATTGGGCACAATAGGTCAACTAGGTCAATAAACCGTCTTTCGTCTAGTGCAGTAACTTTGTACAATAGCTTTTTTAAAGCCAAGATGTTTAGGGTGTGTGTCTCTATACAGAATATATTTTGATTTTAAAAAGTGAACTGAATGCGCTTAGAAATGTTCACTGAAGTAAAATATGACAACTAGACCTCGGCTCTCCTAAAGCTCTTAGTTTCTCTGCATTGTTAATTTTTCAAATGTGATATTTTGCATCGACTTAAGATGCATACTTTAATTTATTCTATGCCCCCAGTGGACCGCGCCGGTCGTGGCAGCAAGCGATGGCTGAGGTGTTTGGCACTCGCTGGAAGATCCTGTGGTTCCTGCCGTTCAGGAGCAGACAGCCTCTAAGGCTCAACTTGACCTCCCGCTCTCGTGTGTAGCCAGACCGACAGAGACACACATCACTCCAGTGGAGAAGGTCACCCTCTGACAAAGCCTCCTCCCCACCCCTTGTCTTCAGCAAAATCCTCTCCAAAATAGCTTGGTATCTCTACAGGATGAAACTTTTTCAGGTTCTTCATTACAACTGCGAATAATCTGACACATGTCTATTCATATAGAATGAATACAATGTCAAAAACATCGTCTTTTTTCTGTTTTGACTGCACATGCTGGGTCAGGTTCATATTTACTACTGACATACGATTACAGGAGAATATTTTATTGTGAGGCTTCATTGTCTCCAGGCTAAACCTTATTTGAGAACTCGACCCAGTCCACTCCCCTAGGTCTGGATCACGTGAGCAGTTTTCATGCAAGTAGGGACACAAGTGGGCGGAGATTGTCTGGTTTTATGGCACTGAAGGTTGAGTGTGAGGTGAGACATGACCTCTGGAATGGGTAAAAGAGTGCTGAAGTACACAGACATACACAAATAGTTTATAACTTTCGTTATCATGCACATAATTACGCATACCTCACAAAGCACCGCTAATGCATCTGCAATTGATCACTTTTATTTTTTGTTTCATTATTAATGTTTTTGTGCCTTTTTAAAATCCACAAGTATTTTTTCTTTATTGCGCATTTAATTTTAAATTGTAAACGTGCTTTTTGAGGAGCTATTAAATCAGTGTTAATACTTTTATATTTGAAAAGGTTGCAATAATATTACCTTATAAGATGCTTGTGTGGCAGTAAGTGGTCAGGAGTTTGAAAATTACCAATAATAAGAGAAATCCTATAGTCGACTACGCCACCCGGAATACACCGGGACATAACAGCCCTAAGCAAAAGGGACACAGGTTCTTTGCCAAAGGCAGGGTGAGCATAAGGATAGACAGATATAAACAAAAATCACTTTATTAACATAAAATTAATAAAAACCACATACAACACTTCACAAGGTCTCAATCCATCACACGTCTTTACCAGTAACTTACAAAACAAGTACAACACAATACGATAACAAAATAAAGAGGGAGGTGGCCAGCAAAGACCCTCAGATTTCTACCCCACACTCACTACCCATGACACACACACTCGTGAAAAATAAACAGCACTCCATGTGGACACGCAGTACAAGGTACCATGGCCAACCCCTCCCACCTAAATTCAAGCACCAAACAATACAAAACATAATATAACAGACGGACCCAGATGAATTCCAGATAGAACTATAACAGAACAAAACAGTAGAGCAGAGCAGAAGTGCAGTCAGTTACTTGAGGTAAAACAACAAACAAGGTAATAAGCCTCTCTATTTAACAGGCAAAAGGGTATTTAAAAACAGGGACCAACCTGAAAACTGGCCGACAGACAGGAGGATAACCCAACTGCTAGCACTCATTCAAAGCGCCACATGTCACAAAGGGGCGGTACCAAGGGTGATGCATCCCAAGCAACCAAACACTTCCCCCTTTTATATGCACAACACAGGCACTAATTGGCTCATGAAACTTACCCAACTGACCAATCATGATAAAGTACAAACACTGATAGGTTCACCTGTTTGGGTAACGCCAGCCAATCATACTGGGTCTATACCTCACTCTGCTACACTTGGAAAAAAAGATCAAATGTTATAAATTATGTTCACTGATGTAAAGATGTAATTCAGTAAAAAGGGATGGATGAAACATGATTTATCCTGTTAATTATTTTTGCCCAGATTTTACTGAAGGTTATTTATTGTACAACACTATGACCCATAAATTTAGTTAGTTTGTAATTAAATTACCTTTATAACTTTTCTATGTGATTCAGATTAACCCCAAAATCTAGTAGCAAATCACCAATTGTAAGAAGTGCCTCTAAACATGCAGTTCTAATAAAATAACTTACTATCTGTTAGGTGCACAAATACACCACTGTGACTTTGGTTTTAGATCAGATTTACTTTACTGTACTTTCAGGTAACTGTAAATATCCACAAGAACATTCAGTAAAAATGTGTGTTGATCCACATTTATCCTGACAAACCATTCTAGATTAAACCATTATTAATTTGCACGAATAGTTAATTGTGCAATTGTGGTTTTTGTCCACTAGGCCTGAGTTAATGTAATCGAGAAAAGCCTGATAATTATTGTTTGTATGGTTTTGTCACATGAATAGGCACGTTTTTCTTCTGATGGTAGCACAGGTGGTGATCTGGTAACCCTTTCTAGCCTAATTCTAGCTCTAGTCGACATTCCATTCAAAAAGTCAGAAGTACAGAAAATGAATTTGTCAAAACAAACTTTCTGCTTTCATTTTGTCTTGCATTACACTCCACATGGAATAATGTTATAAAATGGTTGCTTGTTTTTTGACAACATTCACTTCATACGAGAGATACCTACTTGAATATTTATTTTGAATATCATGCCTTTAACTTTTGCATCTTTTCCTGGATGTTATACTTTTAATTTTAAAATTTGTTGTTCTTTATTGTGATTTTATGGTATAGGGTCTAATAATTGGTTATTAAAAACTACTGAGTTTCTTCTGTGATTATTTTTCATTTCTGAGTTTTGCAGCAGTTTTGCTCTTTTGTTTATTTTAAATACAATGCATTTTATTATTATTGTTATTGTTTGTCCATTTGTTGTTTTTTATTGCTAAACCAATTATATGAAGTATGTAACACTGGGGTAAGATGTAGTGCAGGGGCTATTGGATTGATTCCATTACTCATATGATATTTATTTAATATTTTTAACATTACAGATCAATTTTAATATCTTTATATTAGCACGATATCAGTTATTAAGAGAGCTTAATTATTAAAAAAGCAGTACTCACTGTAGCTTTATGTTGATAGAGGCAATGTTCATGTGTGTGTGTCCCCATTGTGAAGCAATAAGACCTGCTAGAATTTATCCACTATTATAGCAGATATTACAATTGTATGTGCAGGTAGTTCAATGAACATTATTTTATTTGAATCTACTCCTCATGAATATAATATAGGAAACTACTAATTGCTGTCATGTTGAGGATGACGACCCTATTCAGGTTTATGGTTGATATATATGTTATGGTGTTTCTGTCTATTTGCTTCATTTGTGGTTTCAGTCACAATGTTTATTTTGTAATGGGAGTTTTAAAGGGGTCATATGATGCTATTTTAAAGATCATTATTTTGTGTATTTGGTGTAACAGAATATGTTGACATGCTTTAATGTTCAAAAAACATTATTTTTCAAATACTGTACATTATTGTAGGTCCTCTATGCCCCGCCTCTCTCAAACATGTCGTTTTCAACAAAGCCCCCTCCTTTGACAAGCACAGTCTGCTCTGATTGGCCAGCTGAACCAGTGCATTGTGATTGGCCGAACACCGCAAGCACTCGTCGGAAATGTAACGCCCCTTACCATAATCACGAGCTTCAGCTTTCAAAGTAAATATCAAGACAGTTAATAATTTATAAAGAATATCTCTGTGGATTTGAGACTTTAGTCTTTGCAACTTTGCAGATCTTCTTTATGCACCAAGAGCTTGTAACACTCCAAAGAGAAAGGAAAACTTGAAATCGTATCATATGACTCCTTTAAGTATATCAGATATAAATTATGAAGGCGTTTAAAAAAAAAAAAGGTGTTCTTTTGCTTGATGTGCAGTTATTTTTGTTTGTGCTTTTCTCATATAAAAATATTAGATTCTAGATTGAGTGAGTGACGTGACATGTGGCCAAGTATGGTTACCCATACTAGGAATTAGTGCTCTGCATTTAACCCATCCTAAGTGCACACACACCGTGAACACACACCCGGAGCAGTGGGCAGCCATTTATGCTGCGGCGCCCGGGGAGCAGTCGGGTCTTTATTCAACTATGGGCATTTTTGTCCTTGTGATTTAGAATGTCTTTTAAAAAACTTTTCACATTCTAACTAGTTGATTTAATTCATCACTAACAATGTCCAAATTGTTGGGATAACATTGTCCAAATACATGAAGCTCAGAATTTATTTACAATATCATGAGCAATGGTCATTTCTACCAAATTGCAAATAATGTATTGTTTTATAGTATATGTTGAGTTTTTGTTATAAATTGCAGACTGCTTTGTCATAATAGTTAGCATTATTTATAATGAATAAATATGCAATTTCTTATTTCTGCATATATTTTTGAGAAGTTGTTAATTTTCACACAATAACTATTGAAATGGTTTATGATATCCTCAGTTTTCAGCATGTATTCATATAATCACATTGTTCATAATGGAATTTCATTTTTTAAAGCTGAAAGTCTTGGTCTGGGACATGGGTAAAATGTCTTAAAAATAAAAAATCACTCCATGGGACGTCAAAAAAAAGGGTTAAAGTTGCAGAAACACCCTTATTTGTGTGTGTGTGTGTGTGTGTGTGTGTAGCAGAATGATCTATGTAATTAGTTTAATCATCAAACTTTTTTCAGTGTTGTGCTCACTCTGGATGAACGGGACATTGCAGGTGTGAGATCTGGAATAGTGATAGTGTTACCCTAGTGCCCCATCTCAGAGGTGCAAAGGTCCACCCTTTATTTCTTTCCTTTAAATAAAGAGTTTCTCCTCAATGTGAAATCCTTGATGAGGAATTTTGGCTATCAATCACCTGTGTGAATTATTTTCATACGCTTAAATGAATAAAGCTTGTCTCATCCTTCCCCACACAACCTCTCCAACAGTCGATTAAATGCTTTTCAATTTCTCCTTGTAGTGAACCACTGACCTTTCATTAAACAATTAATGTGCGTGTACGTTTCAGCATTTCCGCTTACCAGTTTGGACAGAAGCTTTGTAACGCTGGATTTATTCTGTTGAAACACCATGGTTTCTTGTTTGGGCTTTAAGTCAAAAGGTTTTCTTGATACAGTTAAACAATTAGCTCTTTGAATTAGGCCTGAGAATGCGATTATGGCAACTGCCATTTGAACACCTTGGTCTACTTTATCTAATAATTGACATGATTTGAGTTGTCACCTAGTTCCACACTTGATCTAAAGCTGTTTATAGCAAAGCCAAACCTTAAGCCTCCAAGAAAACGTCTCAGGTTACGTATGTAACCATGGTTCCCTGAGTAGGGAACGAGACACTGCGTTCTCTAGGGGTCGCTATGGGGAACGCCTCGACATGACCCGTGTCTGAAGCATTCATTCAAAAAACGCCAACAACATGTTGGCCGGCGACAGCCTATGATATCACTACCGTTGCAACTATAGTATAAATAGGCGCCGGGAGAACACGTCATCCGCTTCTTCGTCTGAAGCTTGTGTCCGAAGCATGGCAGGAAACCTAGAGGACGCAGTGTCTCGTTCCCTACTCAGGGAACCATGGTTACATACGTAACCTGAGACGTT